TATTTTATTTTTGTTAGCTTTTCAAAACCAGAACAAGGATCTCTTACTCTGCCTTATTTTCCCCTTTTGGTCAGTATTCTGTGGTCTCTTGAAAGTAACTAAAGACTAAGCGGTGCCTATCCGTTTTACTATAACTACTTTTCATTTTTTGCTTATTTTTACTAGTACTCCGACCCACCTCGACTTTGCCTAAGCTTACCGTGTGCTTATCTCAAGGTAATTCTTTTACATGTGCCCAAAGAGAACGTAACAAAATTAATGCGAATTTCCTGAGGAATCTCGTCAGGACCTGCGTCATTAATTTTTGGAACGTAACCGGGGCATTTTTTTTAGCCCGAAGGGCATTACCCTGAAATGGCGCCGTCGGGAGTTGAAAAGACTGTCAACAGTCTTGACACACTTGCCAATAGCTGGATTTGAGGTTGATTACCGAGAATACCTTTGCGGTCTCGGTCTCGGATTAAGTTAGGCTGCATTTCGTTGTAAGGTTGTGGCTTTTTTTAAATTCTCGGTCTCGGATTAAGTTAGGCTGCATTTCGTTGTAAGGTTGTGGCTTTTTTTAAATTCAGGATTCATCGCTAGTGTACTATTGGAATTGTTATTGAATAGTGTGTAATTCCTTTAATAGCTGTGTACAGGTCAGTAACTCGGATTAGCCGAAGCAATACCAGCATACAAGTAGTGAAGTGTATAGAAACCAGAATAAAATAAGGGTTGTTAAATCCCCATTGACAAAACAATCAAATTCAAATAGCAGGAATGGAAAATAGTCACCATAAGCAGATCACGGGAACGAAACGTTCCTAAGTGATCTTTTATAGAGAAATGTACGGCACCGCTTACCTTAAAGAAGCCATTTTTCGGAAAAGTGTCGCGGATTTGGATAATGTGAACGAGAACTTCAACTACGCTCATAATTTAATCATAAAATAAGGGTATGTCTGCGGAGCTACTGTTCATTGTTCGGAAATATCAAACTTCAAACGTAGAAGAATAAATAAAACATATACACAATGTTCTCCTTTTTGCGAAAAATAAAGTACTGCAATTTGAATAGTTTTCACAAAATGAAGAACAAACCGCTCTCTGTTAGTATTCGTATTTCCATCGTAAGAAATGATCCTTAAAAAGCCTCTTAAATTTGCGTATTCATGTTCAAAGGATTCGGAATACTGTAATTCTCTTGATTTAAGGTAATGCTATTCTAACTTTTATAAGGAAGTTTTTTTGCGCTTGGTTAGCAAGCGGAGGATATTGTGTACGAGTTATATATCTATATTCCTATTCTATTTGTAAAAGACATAAGGATGCAGACGGATTTACGTTTAATTATCTATCTTTCAAAGAGAGATACGAAATGGAATTCTCTCCTAACAAGCAATTGTACCCTCGCTTTCCCGTTTCTTTATGTTAACAAATAGGAGTATTTTGTAACGGTTTAACGATGTTTTAAATAAACAGCGGCGTGTTTAGTGAATATTGCCGACGGTATTATTTACATACCTTAATATCCCCTACTCTAAATATTGTTTTCACGGACACTTTAACTGTAAGTATATTCGTTTAGGGGCTTTATAATATTAAACGCGAAGAAAATATGCGTAGGGATATTAGGATGGATAATTAGTTAAGTCCCTTTTAATGTTGCACTAATTGGGTCTTTTTTTTGTTACACTTGATGCGCCCTTTCTCGAGTGAAAGTGTGAGGTAGTGAAATCTGAGCGCAAAGGGATTCGAGGACCATTTACATCCACAATCTTGACAAACATCGGAATCTGAGCAAATATGTTAAAAGTCCCCGAGTGTGACTTGCGAGATTGCGGTCAGTTTTCCTATTCCAACGCTGAAACATTGAAGCGAAGGAAATGTGTAGAATTTACACATTTAGCACACACACTAAGTGCGAATTGAGGTGGTAACTCTATGCGCCTTAATTACAAAATTTCTTGCATAATTCAATAAATTGAGATTGCACTAGTAGTCGAAGAAATTGCTCCATAAATTCGATATGGTAGATGTAATAACCAAAATTAGCCGAGCGTTATACAATAGTCAATGAAATAATTAGTTCCGCAAACAGCTCAATTCGTAATGCTTTAATAATTTATCACAAACGATGAGTGCAATTATCGGGAGTAGACCGGGTGATTCAAAATGACTGCAGACAGTTTGAATTTGGCGCTTAAAATTTTAGTGTGTTTTTAGTTAAGGCGTTGGCGGGAATGGTTTTCCCCTAATAAAGAAATCACAGTAACTACAATCCATCGGCGTCGGTTTTTTACGTGTGCTTTTATTTTCTTGTCTCTATACCATGAACCTTGCATTTTAAAACTTCTTTTCAAAGCTCCTGCACATTTAAAAATCTGAGGGAAATTCAAACCGTCCGCACTACTTTTCGATGATCCGGTATAGCGCACGGAAAATTTTCAAATAAAGCACGTTTCGTTAGGGTAAATAGAAACGTGAAAAGCCTTCGGTGACTTAAATCTATATCTGCGATATCATTCGTGGTAGGCTTTATTGTATTGGAAGCCAATCAATTCCGAGTTTAATAATTTAGTGCTCTACACTCTACAGAAGTAATTGGTGTTTGATACGTTGATAATGAAAAAAAAAACACAAGTAAAACGGAATTGTTGGGGATAACTGCTTTTTCGGTAAGTCTTTCATAAATTGTAGCTTTGCAAATTGTTTTTTGGAATCTCACAGATTGTGCCCCATCGTTGAAAACACCAACAATTTTTGTACGGAGATGGGATGGTAGGATCGCAATTTCTAAGCTTAGCGTACTCCCCATTAGGGCTAAAACAGCACACATGAAAATAACCAGAAATATGCCCTAGTAGTTACTTACCAGCCCATTTTGGTACAGGAAAACTGCAACTCCTTTTTGAGAGCTGTCGTGCAGGCGCAGTAATTGCACTTATTCTCTCGATAACGTTTTTTTATATCGCAAACTACGTCAAGAAATCAAGTTAAAATTGAAAGTTGTATTGGAATGGCTTACCAAAGGAATCTGCGAAAGTCTCCAAGACGAGCAGCGTCACAATAGCTAAACTGAAACCGTACACTGCGCGTGTCGCCATTGTAATCTTAGTACGCAGCGTTTATATGGATGTTAAAGATCGAGGACAATAATTATTACTATCAGGCGAAATGCGTCGATACTGAAGGCTTGGGTTTTTCCAAAAGCAAAAAGTATATCCTTAAAGTACCAATCGAGTCATCCATTATTAATTACGAAAGGTGATAAAATGCAACGGTGAATTTAATCTATTTGTTTCGCAACCACGACTATCGAAAACCGTCTACCGTGATAAGGTATTTGTGTTCAAGGGACATTAAAATGCGATATCAGGTTTCGTAAAACTGTCAAGCATTTACGCAGCAATGGTCTGAAATTTCCGATGCTTTAGCGCGTTGGAAAAAAGTAGCGCTTATACATTGTGTCCCAAATCGCGTGGGATTGCATGGGTAACTTTGTTATTATTAAAGATAGAGAATTGGTTAAATGGGCAATGTTTTGCAGTTTTGGATGCTTATTTAAAATTTCCTTATGGAAATTCAAAATGTCGCATAGGTTCGGCGTAAATTCAAAAAAACTAAAATTGGTCATTTCCTTGAATGTCTTATATCATCGAAAGTATAAGAGATATAAAAAAAGCTTTATATAAAAGTGACTGTCTTTGATACGCTTAATTTAGAATTGATGTCAAAAACAAATTCTAGATGGCCACTTTTGAGGAACATTTACCAACTTCCTAAAGTTAAATAGGCACTATATGGGATTTTTAGATTACTTGATAGATTTTTTAATTCTCTTTTCAACGAGCCATCATAACATAAGATTGAAAATAAGATACCAGTTATATCAACGGTTTTTATATTTTAATCAAGTAGGCTGTGATGAATTAAAAAAAAAACAAAACAAAATCTATTTGAGCCAGCAAAACAATGAAAATAATTACATCAGATGTTTAAAATATCAGAGGCGCACTCATGAGAGGGGGGTTTGGGCATTACAACTTGTAACGAGTGGTTTTATTTCGCGCCAAATTTCATTAAAAAATTCGAAATTTCTTGTCATGATAGTGCAGGTCACCCTGTATATTTCATTATTTGTTCCGGTTAGAAATTTTGTGCTTGGGCATTTCGGTTCGCTCAAGACTATGGTCCGATAGATTTAATTTCGCTCAGATTTAATTTCGTCGTGGGAAGAGTGCAAAGTTGATTGACGTCATCATGAGTAATGCAAGTTTTTGTCGTTCGTTTATCACCCAAGGCGCCGTCTAGACCGAGAATAGGAGCGGTTATAGCACCGAGCCATCAAGAGATAAGGGGTTTTAAATTCGTCAGCAGAAAACCGTGAGATCAGTTTATTCAGCAGTTCCTGGAGGTTGACGACGAAGTTAGAGTGGGTTAAGTCTTCTTTATCTAAACCAATGGGAGAATTTCTAGCGGGAGCCATTTTTGTTTTATGGTAATTTGGGTGTGGTTTTCTCATTGCAATTCTGAAGAAGGGGATCGTTTTGGAGAGACTCGCGGTTAGTACGTCGAGGGGTCGACACATACCTTGAGTGATCGCGTTTTGGAAAAGACTCGCGGTTAGTACGTCAAGCGGTCAACACGTACCTTGAGTGATCGTTTTTTGGGAAGACTCGCGGTTGGTACGTCGAGGGGTCAACACGTACTTTGAGTGATCGCGTTTTAGAAGAGACTCGCGGTTAGTACGTCAAGCGGTCAACACGTACCTTGAGCGATCGTTTTGGTACACTTAGCGTTTTGAGCCACCGGCTTATTTCGGTTGCTCGCAGTTGCGTGCCTTTTGCACCCGTTGCGAAGTGTTATTTTCTTTTCGCGTTGATTTTTTGGCGACGAAGACCCAGGTTCCAATCAGGTGATATTTTGGCGAACCCTTGAGCTTCACCCCAGTTTACTTTGGATGCAGTGAATCGCGTTAGGATACGTTGTGATTTCTCGAGGATATATAATTCAAAGTGCTGCCCTAGTCCTCAAGCCGCCGATATTCGGGATCCGCCCCAGGTGGAATTTCCTACTAGTGCCGTACGGTCATTTGTCGAAGGAGCGCTGCGTTTTGGAGAGATATTTGCCCCAAGAAGAGCTGGTGAAATAATACGTCGAACCACCCACGAACAAATCGCGGTTTACCGTCGGATAGTAATCATAAAAATTTGTGTTCTGCCGTGCCGTTAACTCAAAAATCTGTCTCCCGCAGGCGATCAAAGTTAATAAACTCTAAGAGCCGGTGGAAGGAAATAGTAGGGGTCACTGTTTAAATTAAATACCCGCTGTGTAGAAACTTTGGCAACTAGCCGTCTCCCACTCGCCACGCGAAGGATTTCCTGGACTAAGCTTCAGTTCAAACACTAAACTTTGCTTTCGTTCCGAGGAAGGATAGGCACCGTGGATTTTGTTTCCGTGCGTTAATTTCAAGCCACCCCCTAGGAAGTCACAGAGACCTAAGTGTCAGGTTTCATCACATCCACCCTGTACCAGAGGAAAGAGCAGTTCACAAGATCGGCTGTACAAATGTTGTAAAGGTTAGTCTAATTAAATTTGTAACATTCTGTAAAATTCCACTTTTTGGTAATGAAGCTATAGTAAAAAATTTTGATTTGATTGTTTGTTAAAGTCCAATGAACGATTACCAAAGAGTAGGATAAATTGTTGTGTTTATTTAAATAAGTCCCAGCCCACGCTGGAGTAAAAAACGATTACCTGTTGTTGAAATTTTCAAACTGTAGAGGATGGCCACCCCTTGAGTAAATTAGTCTCACCTGGTAGGATTTTTTATTTAGTTTAGTTGTCATTGTTAAGCTATTTTTTTTACAAGGAGGAGAGAAGAACTGCTAGATCCCTGTAATTTGTTTGTATCTCTAATATCATTTCAATATATTATCTATTTGGTTTCAATGTGCCTAAGTATGTCTTTAACGAAGAACGAGGGGAAGGAAAGAGAGGAGTAGGAGTTGAGGCAGGAGACTGGTAGGCGGCAGGTTAAGGTTTGTTACGCAGTTTCAAAAGAGTTAAAAGCCCACCGATTTGAGTTAGCTGGAGCATTTATTTTTATCGATTGAGCAGCCCGAGAAGAAGACGGTTTGCCTTGCCGGGCGGAACCGATGGTAATTTTCAAGTCCAGAAGGAACCCCCGTAGCAAACTCCCTCCAAAATTTTATATAAGTAGGCCTAGAAAAATTTTTATTTTTATAACTTTTTATCACTTGTTGACTATCTTATTATCCATACTTCGTGTCATGCCATTATCCAGTTAAACACATTTCAAGACACTTTGTTTTATTTTACACAATGTATTACCATTGATGCATTGTCCCAGGTCACATTTTGTAGGTCAGTAGGTGGTTTATCCGCAAGAATATCGAAACTAACAGTTTTACCAGTCCGAGTATATGGACAGATGAATCTTATTTTTCTAACTGCGGAGTGTTCAAATCGACATAATGAACACTATACTCGTCACAGGAAAACCTACATGTTGTAGTTTCACGCCGAAATCAAGTAATATTTTTTTTAATTAATGTATTTTATGGCATAATGGGAAGTCATGCAATTGGACCGGTAATCTTCGTTGGATCAATAAATTTACAAATTCTCCAATAAACTTCCTTAAAGGATTTTTCTCGACAACGTATGTTTCGAAGAAAGGGTTGGTTTATGCTACCTACCAACAAGCTGGCTGCTCAGGTCACAATTCACGAATTATGTACAGTACATTAAATTATAAAAGTAAGTACTTAATTAAAAAATAAAAGTAAAGTGGAAGTAGCTACCACTACAATAATAATAATAAGCATCAATGGCAACACGTTGCCTAAACCAAACTGTCTTGAAGTGAATTTCACTAATAATGGCCAGTATTTTAAACATCTGGTGTAATTGTTTTCATTGTTTTGTTGCCTCGGATAGATTTTGTTTTGTTTTTTTTTATTCGTCACAGACTACTTAATTAAAATACAAAAACCGTTAATATAACTGGTATCTTATTTTCAATCTTATGTTATGAAGACGCGTTGAAAAGAGAATTAAAAAATCTATCAATTTCGATATGGTTTTCGGATGTGCTATAATTTTACCGTTAGATAGCGCTACCAGTATAACAACTTAATTAAGAGCGCATTTTTGAAAAATAAATACGCTATTAGATTCGTTATGGCTGGCTGTCCGGCTGAGATCTCAGCAATTACAATTGCTAGAGACGATCTGCAGTACCAAAAATATATACAGAGTATACTTCAAATTTAACTAAAATTAGTACACCTACGTTTAATTAATTAACCTTACCATATAAGTATGTAACAAAATCATAAATTTGTAGTTTAACATCGACTCAAAAAAATGAGAAAGGAATAAATAAAAAAAGAAAATGACAAAAGAAAACAGAAAATACGGTACGATTTGTTTGTCGTACAAATCGTACCATCTGTAGGACGTTTTAGATATTCTTGTACAAATAACTATATAATGAAATATTTGAGGTTAATTGAATATATAATCATAATAAATATAATAAACATAATAAATATAATAGGTAAATATAATAAATTCTTCTACTAATTTGTTTCGATATTTTCAGAAATAACTTCACATTTGATAAAAATGAAAACCTGATAGATACTGCGAATCACGTGATTACTATTTCTTTAATATTAATTTCGGTTTAAACAAAAATTGATGCCAAAGTTAAATTTTACATGAAGAAAGTAATAGAAAAAGTTTCATATGATGTAGCAACCATCAGGAAATATGCGCCTTGTGAATATTTTAGAAAGGTTACAGATATTATATGCTTGAATTTTCTGAATTTCTATGATCACTTCCTTTTTGCACGAGTTTTTTAAACTTAGTTTGTTTCTAAGACCGCACCTCCAAGTACATCTCCTCAGTCCTCATCCACAATTTAAGGATCGGTGCTTATGTAACACCTACAGATTTCCTGTATGCCACTTTGTACTGTTAAGCTCCAGGTTACGTACACATTATGCAGTATGCAAGTTTAAACCTGCAGTTTAATCCAGTGCAGCTCACACCCAAAAACTTAATGTTTCCTTCTTAACACCTCTAATAGTGTGGGATTATACATTGTTAGTACTTACTACGACACCACCAAAATGTCGGCATTAGAGCGCAAAGGTAAGAACTTGCAAGAATTGTATAGTTAAGTTAAA